CTCATTTTTTTTATTAAGGTATTGTTATGCCCAAGTGTCATAAACCCCAAAGACTACCAGGGAGCCGAATCCGGTGCAATTGCAGAGAATCTGTATTTATTTCGGACTAGTCCGAGCCCAGTCTCACCTACACCAACGAGGGCATGGGCGAGAAAGAGCTTGTTTTATTTTTTATTAAATTATTATCTGTGTACATATTTTAACATTGTCCCCCCTCCCATACATACTGTTTTTGTTTTTAAATATTTTTTACAGAGAGGAAGGGAGAGGGATAGAGAGAGAAACATTAATCAGCCGCCTCCTGCACACTCTCCACTGGGGATGTGCCCGCAATCAAGGTACATGCCCTTGACCGGAATCGAACCTGGGACCCTTGAGTCTGCAGGCCGATGCTCAATGCACTGAGCCAACCGGTTTCGGCTTAATTAGTGTTTTAAAACGCCTGTGAATGGAGGAGCCAACTGTATCATTGATCCCTAAAGGAAGGTAACTGCCTACTCCCTCCCACAGGCGAAGGAAACAGATGTTAACAGCCGCAATGGCTGGGTGGAATTATAGGTAAATGCTTTTATTTTTCATCTTTACCCACAGTCACTTACCACTTCCACAAACATGTAGACCTCTCCATATTTCAGTATACAATAGTAGAACAGAACCCTACTATTGTGTTTATTTTCTTGTGAGGGAGGGAGACTATAGTGTAAAATATACACTGTATACGATGGAAAAAGTATTATGCAAGAAAAGCCAGGATGTGGGCTAAGAACTAGAGGTGCGAAGAGCTTCCATGTTTCCTGCAATAAACTTCTATTACTTTTTAAATTTTGAAACCTAAAAATTCCCAGCCTAGAGCGGCCAGGCCCGGGGGAGCAGCCGGGGCTGGTGTGGCCAGGCCCGGAGCAGCGGCTGCCAGGCTGGGAGCGGCCAGGCCCGGAGCAGCAGCAGCCAAGTCCAGAGCAACTAGGTCGGGAGCGGCAGTGACCAGACCCAGAGCAGCTGGTTGTGGAACGAACCAGAGCAACAGAGGCCAGGCCCTGAGCAGCCAGGCCCAGAACAGCTCGCTCCTCGCCTGCCCCTGCCCCACGGCTGCCTCTCAGACATGGCTGGAAACTTTCGCGGGAACTTGAGGGTCTGCTGAATCAAGTGATGAAGGCTTAGATCTGGATGTGTTGAGTTAGTATAGGGCTGGGGTGTTGATCTGTGAGTGCCTTGGGTGGGGCCTGGATGAGGCTAGTTGACCTATTGGGAAATGTCTTTCGTGTGAAGTGACCTATTGGGAAATGTCTTTTGTGTGAAGTGTATCATTGGGCATGTGGAGGTATTATTGATATGAGAAAATGCTAAGTAACTGATTTACTATCTGAAAAGGGATTTACTATCGGGGAAAGGGAGGGAAGAAGAGACTGAACATGAACTGTGCACCTATGGATGAGGACAATGGGGGATGGGGAGGGGGCGGAGGGTGGGGTGGGAACCTGGTGGAGGGGGGAAGAAATGAGGAACCTTTGTGATAATATGAACAATAAAGATTGATTTAAAAAAAAAAAAAATTCCCAGCCTATGAAAATGCAAACTTAGAAGCATCCACGGAGTTCCCTTAAGGCCTTGGCACAATGGTTTGATCTGTATGTTCTGTGAATGTTTCCTTAATAAACATCTATAGGCTTCAGATAATAAAAGTTCCATTGGAACCATTTGCAGGAAAATCAGCATGTCAGGAAGTAAGATATTTATTGTACCCACTTCCTCACTCTGATTGCAGCCAACCCCCCACCACACCCCACCCCCACCCCATCACAGCTGAGCTGCCTCTGAAGAGAAGGGCCTGTGTTCTCCTGAATCTGGTTTCCCTTAACATTTATCTGGCCCTGGTGACAGCACTGAGGCACACAAACTACGCGGTTAAGAAAACTGAGAAGTCATTCATCTGTTCATTTCCCTAAGCCCACCACAAGCCTACGCAGACTGAATGGAGCCCTCATACCAAAGCTCCCAGGGTAGCCAGGGCACAAGGCTTCCCAAGGTCCCTCGGAGCTCCCCTCTGAATACAGAAACCACCCCTCAGTTTCACGAATAAGCTTCCTGCTAGTTTCTGCTTGTTGGGAGATTGATTTAACAGGCCTTTTTCTGTAATAAATACTACACTTCAATCCTCTTTTTTGTATTTGTCCCAATTGTTTCAATTCTCTTCCTGGTGAGCTATCATGAACTCCAAGCATTTTACACAATCTTCTGTGATGCTGCATACAATAGGCATATATTTAATTTTAAATGGGGAGGAAAATATTCCCTCATAATCCGAGGGCCCTTTGTACATTTCAAAATACCAGTAATGTGCCTGGCATTTGACTGATTGTACCCATTCTATGCCAAAACCCTTAGACCAGTCAGTGGTCGGCAAACTCATTAGTCAACAGAGCCAAATATCAACAGTACAACAATTGAAATTTCTTTTGAGAGCCAAGTTTTTTAAACATACCTCTTCTAACGCCACTTCTTTAAAATTGACTCGCCCAGGCCGGGGTATTTTTTGAAAAGCCACACCCAAGGGGCCAAAGAGCCACATGTGGCTCTCTAGCTGCAGTTTGCCGACCACAGACCTAGACAAATCCAACAAAGTTCACTTTGAAAAGACTGCACATAATCATAAACCTGATGAAGACAGCATGGCAAATACTGAGGCCAGGTTTAGAGTGATCAGTTACAAAAAATGTTGGAAATAAACCTAATACTTTGGAATTGTCACTTCCATAAAAAGAAATTTTGCCTAAAAAATATTAAGTGGGGGGAAAATGTTCATGTTTGTTGATAGTGGGTAATGTATATGTAGTTACTACTCTGCTTTGTGTTTAAGTTTTCACCGTTATTTTTAAAATTATAAACTTATGGCAGAATTCTAAAACAGCCCCAATGACCCATGCCTTTTTATGATTTCCTGCCCTGGAGGGTGGGAGAAATCAGTGAATATATCACTTCTGTGATTAGGCACAACTGACTTTGAACTTGAGAACTTATCCTCAGTGGGCCTGGCCTAATCAGGTGAGCCCTTGGAAGGGAGGGAACATTTATAAATAAGTTATGGGGATGTAATATACAACATGGTGGCTACTATTTGAAAGTCGCTGCCAGAATAGATCTCAAAAGTTCTTATCAGAAGAAAAAGTTGTAACTATGGCCCTAGCTGGTTTTACTCAGTGGACAGAGCGTTGGCCTGCAGACTGAAGGGTTTTGGTCAAGGGCATGCACCTTGGTTGCAGGCACATCCCCAGTGAAGGGTGGGCAGGAGGCAGCTGATGGACGTATCTAACTCTCTATCCCTCTCCCTTCCTGTTTGTAAAAAGTCAATTGATGTTGACTTTCTACACTTATTGTGGAAATAATTTTGCAAATATTGAGTCATTATGTTGTACACCTGAAACTATAATGTCCATTTTATCTCAATAAAAATAAAAAATAATTTTAAAGCGAGGGTGGGCTATTCCCTGGAGACTTAGTATGAGAAGGATTTGGCAGTGAATGCTTCTGTCCCAGCTTTGAAGATGAGGGGGACCACGTGGCAAGGCATGCAGGTGGCCTCCCTTAGCTGAGAGTGGCCCCTCGCTGATGGCCAGCAAGGAAATAGAGACAACCATCCTACAACCAAAAGGAACTGAATTCTGCCATGAGAGCCTGGAAGAGGCCCCCAAGCTCCAGCTGAGAACACAGGCTGGCTGACACCCTCCCTTCAGCATCGTGAGAACGTTCGCAGAAACCCCAGCCACCACATCCTTGGATTTCTGAACTATAGACATGAAATAAATAAATGTTGGCTTAGCCACCAAATTGGTGATTTGTTATGCAGCAACAGAAAACTAAAAATATCACACACAAACACAGAACAGTGGCCAGAGAACAAGACCAAATGCCCTGTTTGTTTACACTTTTTTTTTCCTTTTTTTAAATATATTTTATTGAATTTTTATAGAGAGGAAGGGAGAGAGCTAGAGAGCTAGAAACGTCGATGAGAGAGAAACATTGACCAGCTGCCTCTTGCACACCCTCTACCGCACAAGGTACATGCCCTTAACCAGAATCGAACCCGGGACCTTTCAGTCTGAGCCAAACCGGTTTCGGCATATTTACACTCTTTTATTAATAAAAACAACAGGAGGAGGACGAGGTTTCAATATTTTATTCAAGTTTTATTTTAAGTGATATTAATTACAGCATTTGAAAGGGATGATCTAATTCCACACAATGGAAGACTCTAAAATGTACCCATTTAAACTGCTAAAAAATAAACCAAGTGTCGAGAACACACAACAGAAGTCTAATTTAGGTTCCGAGTGTTGTCACCATGTGATTACAGTCACAGACTCTTCCCAGCTTGCAGCTGGAGCTTTTGGAAGCTATTTCATACTCTGGTGCAAGGGCAAAAAACCACAACATGAGAGGGAATTAAGTCCTGAATTTATTGGCTTCATCACATCCACCTTCTCCACCCCAAAATGGCACAAAAGAAACTACCACACCCTGCAGACTACGTTTGGTGCAAAAGAGGTGATAGACCGGGGTGGAAACAGGTCTAAAAAAGTCCCATCAGATGAGTTTGTACGCACCATCAGAGGGTGAGCCTCTCTCAGTTAGGGTAGGAAATCAAGATTCAATTCTCAGGAAGTCATAATTTCATACATTGAAGCAATACAAATTTACAAAGTGCTTACAAATCATCATCAGCTTCTGCTTGTGGCCATTTCTCGATAAAAAAGAAACCTGACATCTCTGGCGGGGCTGCCAAGTTCCCCCAAGTCTACAGCTGTGAGGACCTGTTTTGGAAATGGGTTTCTTCTGAACCTCTGAAAGGGTAACACCTTAAAGCTGAATCATCTTTAACCTGGAGGTCTAACCTGGTATTTAGCAATACTTGCATCCCAGACATACAACATTAAAAGGTACACTAAATTCTGAAGGTAGCTATGCTGCAAAATAGTTTAAAATTAAAACGATTGTACAGTGTTCGTTTATGCTTGAAATTCCAGTCCTAGACCAAGCTTGTGGCCACCAGCGTTGACATTCTTGCCATCCAGCAGAGCTGACAGCGTCAGTTTGATACCTGCAGGGGGAGATCCGGGAGATGAAAGGGGGAGGGATGAAGAAAAGAAGAGAGAAGAAAAGTTAACACCCGGAGGAATGTTGGAGGGCCCTGGCAAAACCACACCAAACCCAAAACCTGTCCCGGCTGCCTGAGCAGGGGCAACACCACATGGCCTGTCCATCGCTGTGACTCAGGGCCGGCTGCCTGATGAACAGGCAGCCTGGAACGAGCTTTTTCAACCATCAATGTTATTCCACGGCCTGCCTAATCCACTCTAGGGCTCCACTTCCCTTTTTTCCTTTCATCATTTCCTGCGACCACTCACCCCTCTATCATTGGCACTATGAGCTAAGCTTCTTCAGCAATGGCCCCTTGAAATGAAACTCCGATCATGAGCCAGACACCAAGGTCTTACACTCATGTATACACACACACACACACACACACACACACACACACACACAAAATACTGATATTTTCCCTTGAACAGCTTGATTCTGACATCATGTTATCTTAGATTCCCAGGGTTCAAAGGCCAAACCTATCCAAAATAACCCCACGGAGGGATTAGCTCCAGGGGCTGGCCTAGCCAACTGGGCCAAGGAAACCTGCAAACCGGTTTTACCCTGGGGATGACCTATGGGCTAGTTTTAAGAACCTGCTGGAAATCAGTATCAAGCATTACGTACACTGAAAGAAAAAGGATGGAAGAAAACAACCAAAACCGTAGCATGCTAGCTTTGCTCTTCTCTCCTGACTACTTCTATTCGCCAAATGTTTTATCAGGACTGCACACCTTTATAAACTGTTCATTATTAAGCTTTATGGACACTCACTTGCAACGTACTATGCAGGCACTTTATAAGCAATAGCATACAGCAGCAAACAAGAACCACAATATTTTTTTTAAGACAAAGAACTGATTTCACATACAACCAACACATACCTGGCTTTAGTGTCTGGGTGTATCCCAACCCGATCAGGCTGGAGTTGTTCACTTTAGCCTAGGGAAGGAAAACAGAAGGCACAGGAAGAGCTTTTTAATCAAACAACTCTGAACTTCAGAATCACACTCTCTTTTCTCGTGACGACTTTGTTCATGGGCTTCATTAAATTCACTATGAAACGGCCGGGACCGGTTTGGCTCAGTGGATAGAGCGTCAGCCTGCAGACTGAAAGGTCCCGGGTTTGATTCCGGTCAAGGGCATGTACCTTGGTTACGGGCGCATCCCCAGTAAGGGGTGTGCAAGAGGCAGTTGATCGATGATTCTCTCTCATTGATGTTTCTAACTCTCTATCCCTCTCTCTTCCTCTCTGTGAAAAAAATCAATAAAATATAAAAATAAAAAAAATTAAAAATTCACTATGAAACCTATCAAATTTAGGGAGACTGGTCTCAGAAGGGAAACTCAGAGTCAATAGGATTTTCAATTAAAGGATGCTATTATTTATGTTTAATTCCTAAAGGTATGAATGCCCAATTTCACTTATACAAATAGGTCTGTAGTCAAGTCATAACAGGTGAGGATATTTTCATGTATGGCCCTGAGATAAAGGCTCTCTTAAATGGGAGACTTCTTCAAGATTTATTTGTTGGAATGAGGAAAAACAGCAAATGTGAGATGGGGTTTTTTGAGGGTTTTTTTTCTTGTTTGGTTGGGGTTTTTTTGTTTGTTTTTTAGGAAGAAAACACCATTAGAATTTTTCTCAAAAAAAGAATTTTTTCTTCATGAAAAAGAGAAGCAAAAATCTACTGACAATGAAGAAAGTTCAGCACAGACAAGCTGGAGTTTGAAATGGATACTGGAGTAAAAGAATGACCTAGCCCAGTGGTCGCGGTTTGCCGCTCTGTTGACTAATGAGTTTGCCGACCACTGACCTAGCCAATCACTTCAATGTCAGCAATGAGTGAAGGTTCATTAATAATTAAGTTCAGTAAAGCAGTTGAGTCCATAATAATTTTGCCCGCATTCCTCTGCCTGAGTTGTAGGGAAGTCCGGGCCTCTCCCTGACCCCTTTCTCTAAAATAAGAGGGGTCAGGAGCAGAGCAAGCTCCCGCCATGAGAACACCGAGTCCTGGTAAAAGCTGGTACAGGTTTTCCTGTTCGAATGCTATTTTCAGACCTAACATCTCCCGTCAGAAAGAGCAGGGCAGGGACAGGAAGGCCTCCTGGCAGGCAGTGCCCCATCAAGCTGTTCTTTTTTGTTTGTATCATCCAAACACAGCCTCCTCCCTTTGTTTTTATCTTTTTTCCTTCTTCTTTCCCGCCCCCCCACCCTTGTTTGCACATGACCAACACAAAAGGAGCCAAATTCAGTTCCTGGTACAAGAGGCCTGAAATGAACTGTCTGTAATTTACACAAACCAGCCCAGAAACCTTCCTGCACCATCCTGAGGCCCCTCCACACTGCCCCATGACAACACAGGCTGAGCTCGACAGGATTCAACATGAAGGCTCTGCAGCAACCAAGAACCCGTGAACAACGCTACAGGGTCTGCGAGGTAAGATGCCAGCTGCCCAGCGCCAGGGCCTGTCTTCACGATGTGCAATACGGGAGCTGGGCAAGGGAAGGACAGAGGGGGAGGGGAATGAGCTCTCAAAGCCTCCCTGTTCGAGGGAGCCCCTTTCTAGCCTGCAGCAGGGAACCGGAACTGGTTAGCCAGCCAGCCCCGGTCAAGCCCAGGCCCCCGCGCTTACCCAATGTCTGCTCTTGGGCAAGTTACTCAACTTCTCACTTGTTCTTAGCCAAAAGTCCCAGGAACCCTTACTTACTCAACTTCTCTAAGCTCCCCAGTTCCTCCTTTGTGATACCAGGGATGGCATGATGTTTTTTTAAAAAAGATACCTACTTCAAGTGGGTTGTGTAAGAATTAAATTCAGTAATCCACATATAAGGGGCTCCGCACAGCGCCTGGCACCACAGTAAGTACTATGATGGTTAGCAGTTTCCTGAGAAAATCTCCAGCCAGTGCGTGGAACGCCCACAGTCGTGAGTGATTCCAGCCTCAGACCAGGTGGGGCCCAGGGGATGCGTGGTTCCTCGGGTACCCACCGAGAAGCAGGCTTCGGGGTCGATCTGGTACTTGGCTGCTATTCCAAAGCGAGTGTTACTGTTTCCTGCTGTCCAGGCGAGGTTCACAGCCGTCTCCAACTTCTTGTTCACCTTCTGGTAAATGGAGCCGCCAAACTCCGTCCCGTCGTTTCTGCAAACAAGCGCAGCACAGATGCCAAGGTGCCCGGGAAGGCAGGCTGGAGCGGGGCAGCGCTGCCCCCGTCAAACCGAGGGCAGGAAGGCTGTGAGAGGACCCACCTGCTCACAAAACAAATGCCAATTACAGGAAGCCTGAAAGGGATGGACAGACACCCGAGCCGGGAGGTTTGGAGCAAGGGATGGCTATTTCACCCCTCAGTGGGAACACCCCATGGCAGCTCAGTCAAGCACCACTGAACTTGAAGTTTGCTTCTAACACACTCTTTAAAAACAGATGCAGCAACGAGGGCATTGGGATTCGGGGTTCTGAGTGATTTCTGCTGCTAATATTATTACTTTTTTAAAGGCTTCTATCATAAAAAAGGTAAGCAAAGCGAGGAGCAAATGAGACGAGAACTCAGCCAGAAGTGGCAAGCAAGGCTGGGCCAGTGTTCCCCAGTAGTCAAGTTACATAGCTTTCTGCACCACCAGCTACAGCCGCTGCTCGGGGACACAGCCAGCACGGAGCCAGCCCCCTGGACGAGCAGCGACTGCAAGAGCTCAACCTAAGGCTCAGACTGGCCCGCCTGTGCATGCTGCTGGTCCACGCAGCAACACCTACCGTCCTGGTGGGATTGGGAAAAGAGCTACTTGCTCCTGGCAGAATGTTTCTGGTCTTTCAAGGTGGACTGAATCTCAGCTGGCTAGACACCTTCTTCTCTTCCAAACACTCCAGATTGACTCCAGCCTCTGGCAATAGACCCTTCCCCTCCCTGACATTTTCAACATAAACAAACACTGTCAAAGTTCTGCCTCATCATTTTGGGCGTTTCCGGTGGAAATGACATTGGAAACTGTTGAGGCAGAGCCCGTGTGCTTTAGAATCCAGAGCTGAGAACTCACTAACCCAAGAATACACTGTTACTCTTCCACTGCAAACTCTGCTTTTCACCAATACTCTCTCCCTAAAGTAGGTGCTCACTAAATACATTCTAAATCCTTACGTTTTTCCCCTGAAATTCAGCCAGACATTGTACTTCCAGAAACAACAGGAGCCACCTGACTTGAAATGCCAACTTCTTCAGGAAGTCCGAGCATTAAAATAATTAAGGTTATTTAAATTTACATAACCTTCTTACGATAGAAGTCTTTTAAAAAGTAATAATACAGCCGAAACCGGTTTGGCTCATTGGATAGAGCGTCGATCTGCGGACTGAAAGGTCCCAGGTTCGATTCTGGTCAGGGGCATGTACGTTGGTTGTGGGCACATCTCCGCTGGGGGGTGTGCAGGAGGCAGCTGGTCGATGTTTCTCTCTCTCATCGATGTTCCTAGCTCTCTATCTCTCTTCCTTCCTCTCTGTAAAAAATCAATAAAATATATTAAAAAAATAATAATAAATAAAATCAACAAAAAACATATTTAAAAAAAAAAAAAAAGTAATAATACAGCTGAAACCGGTTTGGCTCTGTGGAAAGAGCATCGGCCTGGGGACTGGAGGGTCCCAGGTTCAATTCTGGTCAAGGGCATGTACCTTGGTTTCGGGCACATCCCCAATATGGGGTGTGCAGGAGGCAGCTGATCGATGATTCTCTCTCATTGATGTTTCTAGTTCTCTGTCCCTCTCTCTTTCTCTCTGTAAAAAAATCAATAAAATATATTTGAAAACAAAGCATGTATTTAAAAAAAAAAAAAAGTAATAATACAAAACAGCAGCTTTTCAAAAGTAACAGATTTGAGTGGCTTTGGTATAACTCAAAAGGGGATATTTTCTTGGTCTTAAATGTTTTCCAAAAAAAAATGTCATGTTTTTCTTAAAAGTCGTGAAGTTCAGGTACACAGGGAAAACAGCAAACCACCACTGTCCTTCCCGAACTGGTGCCAACTCCCCATTCCAAACCAAGGGGGCACTTTTCATTTCCGTCAAAATGGTAAATTAAAAAACACTCCTATGTTTGTGGCATTTTCCTGTGACTTTTTGAATGTTACCTTTTTTAATTTACATAACCTTTTTGCCCCTTCGTTGGCGTACATTTCTATGAGTTTTATCACAGACTCTGACCAGTGACCACCGTCACAATCAGGGTAAAAAAGTCCCATCCCCCAGACTCCCTCAGGCTACCTTCGTGGTCACCACCTTCCCCAGCCTCCGAGCCACCTGACTGAACAGCGCTATAGTTTTCTGTGACTTTTTTAGTTTTAAGAGACTTAAAGTTTATGAATAATATTCATTTATTATATTACTTAATTGTAGAAATTTCCTTAAAAAAAAAATGTGTTAATTCACAAAGACACCGATTCCATTTACTTGTCTCTAAGTTCCAGAAGTCTCTTCTTGAGTGACCTCTAGTGGAGAGAAAGAAATTTAGGAAAATTGCACCCCACTTGTGCCACGGGTTAGTTCTTTAGGTCCCACTGGGATTACATGGATGAAATGTCTGTTCCCCTTAACCTAAGTCAGCACTGCAACGCTCACGTTTGATGGCAAGGGGCTCTCTCTAACCCAACTCATAACTTCCTCTTCCCTTCGCTATACTGTCCAGAAGTTGTAAACTTTCCAATGTTCCCCCAGGCAGAGGGCACTCGGTACTTCACTGAGAAAACCGTCCCCTCGTTTGTCTCCCATCCTGATCCTCACAGGCAGCATATGGAGAAAGAGAGAGCTGCATCTTCCCCACCCCCACACACACACACACCCCATTTTGTTAACTAAAACCAAAGGCTCTCCAATTCCCGTAAAGCTGCAGGGAAGGGACACTCCTCTGGTCTGACATCACACTCTGGATCCGTCCTTGTGTGTACCAGCAACCAGCAACCACGCTTACAGTTCGCTAAACACAAAGACCCTAAGTCAGGTCAGGAAACGGGTCGGTGGGAAACAGAAAATGGTAGCAGTCCATTCGGCTCATCTGATCACAACCAACTCACTTTACGGTGATGAAACACTGAGCTTAGGAGTAATCATGAAGAACACTCCCCCTGCTGCACACACTCGCTCGCCCACACTCACACGCACTTACACGTTAGTGTGAAGCTGGAATTCATCGGTCTTGTAGCCAACGGCAAAGTTGCTCTGGGTCACGCGGGACTTGGCTGTCTCGAAGTTCATCTGGTAGCCGGCCAGCCAGCCCTCGTAGCCCAGCACCAGGGCGCCCCGGATCGAGGGCCCCGCGATGTCGAAGTCCACGTCGCAGCCCAGGTTGATGTGCTCCCGCTTGTACCCCGACTTGATTTTAGCGTTTTTTTTCCTGCAGGAAAAAAGATGGTATTAAAATCAGGAGCTAACTCGCCTTGTGACAACCATGCTGAAAAATGCAAAATTTTTTTTTTAAATCCCAATTAAATGGGGGCGGGTAAGAGGGCTGCACAGATAATGGTCCCAAATCTCCCTTGAGCATAAGCAGCTGCTGTGCCACAACAGGCAGAACACAACCTGTCCTCCCTCAAACCCGGTCTGCAGAAATGGCGAAATAATGAAGTGAGCACACAAGCCTGGAGGCAGCACAGGTCGCTTTCTTTTACTTCCTCTCCCTGTGTCTGCCGGAGGGGCCTGCACAGGCGCTTATTGGGGGGATCGTCATCATGTAATTATGAAACAGGTGCATCTGCTATTTTCCAAGACTGGTGAAGAAAGCACATCTAAACAGCAGCTCTTGTTCATTGTTGTTGTTTTTTTTGTTTTGTTTTGTTTTGTTTTTTTAAATATGTTTTATTGATTTTTTTACAGAGAAGAAAGGAAAGGGATAGAGAGAGTCAGAAACATCAATGTGAGAGAGACATTGATCAGCTGCCTCTGCCCAACCCCTACTGGGGATGTGCCCGCAACCAAGGTACATGCCCTTGACCGGAATCGAACCCGGGACCTTTCAGTCCGCAGGCCGACACTCTATCCACTGAGCCAAACCGTTTCGGCTCATTGTTGTTAATCCTCACCCGAGAATATGTCTCCATTGATTAAGAGAGCGTAGAAGAGAGAGGCAAAGACAGAAAGAAACATCGATGTGAGAGAAGCACATCGATGGGTTGCCTCTTGCACAAGCCCCAACCAAGGCCCAGGCCTGGGAGAAGCCTGCAACCGAGGTACATGCCCCGGACCAGAATCGAACTCCAGGCCCTTCAATCCGCAGGCTTGTGCTCTCTCTATCCACTAAGCCACACCGGCTACAGCTAAGCAGGAGCTCTTAAGGAGATAGATGGTCTGGTCATCTTCTCACTTGGTGGCTCACTTAAGTAAAAAATAAACAAATACTAGATCTTGTCTAAGAACAACAGCTTTTAATTAGTATTCATGAGGCTGCAATGAGAACTCGGCCCAGACACAGCACCGAGGGCCCTGCAGTCACAGGCCCAGGAGACCCCAGGTCTAGTCTGCTGACCCCAGGCGTGTGGAGGACCAGGTCGGGGCCTCCCCACCTATGATTCAAGACCCCGCACTCCTCAGGACGGGGAGGTGAGTTGTGTCACCATGCCTTTTACCAAAAGTCAACATTGGAGTCAATATGGGCTGGTAATTCTTAAAGCTGGATGATAGAATACGATAAGGGTTTAATATATTTTTCTGCATTCTTTTGTGTGTTTGAATTTTTTCATAATTTGAAAAAAATGTGAAGGTTAAACTTCCCAAGTCCTCAGTGAGACAGGAATTCCAGAAGTCATAGATGAAAAATAAGGCCAGCACCCTTCCCAATGGACACTGAAACCTGCCACTTCCGCTCAAGCTGCTTCTGCACATTCTCACAAGCTTGGAAGGAAAGGTATCCCACCCCAACCAATTCTCTCTCAATAAGAAAAACTCAAACCAATTTTGGTCTGTCTGCTCTTTGGGGGAAGCAACCTGGATTGGGGCCAAGCATCTAACTGGCACCAGGCTGGGTAGGATGACATTTAGATAGAGAGGGAGACCAAGAAATGTAAAAAGTGGGCATCTCGTAACAAGAGGCGAAAAGCTGCTGCTGACCACAAAGTGTGAGGCCTGGGGCAGGGCCTCTGACCACTGGTGTGCTCCAGCTGTCCTGACCGTGTACACAGCACCTCCAGTGCCTCCCTGGGTTCTGGCCAAGGACACAAGGTCCCCAGAGAATGGGCAGTGCTGGGAGAGTGACTCAGGTTTCTCTCCAGGCGCCTGATCCAATGGAGCATTCCACTGCTCGCTATTTAAACAGCGGTGCTAATCTGACAGGCACCTGAGAGGGGCCTGACTCTGATTTGTGGCTAACAAGCTGGCCTTACCTGTGTTAGTGCTGATCCCTAGGTGAAGTCTGTGGCCTCATCCAACTGTGGCCTCTACTCGGCTCCTCATGGAAGCCAGGATGCTTTCCCAGACTATAACCCCCAGGCACTTTGGGAAAGCCAGCTTTCATTTCCAATCTCCATCAAGTCATCAAAACTTTCCTCAAATACCCAGTAGAATGTGTACACCTTGCGCCCACAACCTTGGTTTCAAAACACCCTCTTCGGTTAAAGAAACCAAGGGTTTTTGAAGAAATGATTGATAGCATGACTAGGAAAGAACTAGAAGCAGCTGAGTCGGAGTATTTTCTGAAGAAGTACTCAAAAAAAAAAAAAAAAAAAAAAAAAAAAGATAGAGGCTTGTCCAAAATGCATAGGATTTCAACTTGAAGGTGCTATCAATGGCCATATCTGGGGGCAATCTACACTAATAAAAGAGAAAGATGCAAATTGACCATACCTTCACAGCGCCCACCAGCAATCAGGAGTGTGAGTATGCAAATTAACCCAACAAAGATGGCGGGTTAATTTGCATACACAGGCACTGAGCAGCCTGAGACAGGGTGGGACATTTGTGTTGTTGCCATGGTGACAACACAGGCATTCTGCACCGCCCCAGTCATTCAGGGCTCCTGGGCAGCATAGGAAGGTGGGTGGGGCCGGAGCCTAAAAGCAGTGCCAGCAGCCAGGGAAAGGAAGACCCATTCCTGCACGAATCTGATATATATAGGCCTCCTGATACTACACAACATAGCAGCTCTTCCATGACTGTCAAGACTGCATAGCCTGAGGTTAACTACGAGGAAACATCAGGCAAATCCAAATTGAAGAATTCTACAAAAGAACTGGCCTGTCCTCTTTAAAAGTGTCAGGGTCACGAAAGACAAAGAAAGCCTGTTCCAGGTGAGAAGAGACAAGGGAGACTGGACAACTAGATGCAGTGCAGTTCCCTGCACTGGGTCTCGGACCTCAAATAAGGCACCAGGTGGTTAGCAGCGACATCGCTTCCTGGTTCGGATCATTCTAGTGAGGTGAGAGGCTGACATTAGGAGGAGAGTAGAAGAATATACATTTTTGTACATGTTAACTATAATACAAAACATTTTGAAATACAAAGTTAAATAAAAACCTTCCTCTTGCCGAAACTGGTTTGGCTCAGCAGTAGAGCGTTGATCTGCGGGCTGAAAGGTCCCGGGCTCGATTCCGGTCAAGGACATGTACATTAGTTTCGGGCACATCCCCGGTAGGGGGTGTGCAAGAGGCAGCTAGTCGATGTTTCTCTCTCATTGACGTTTCTAGCTCTTTATCTCTCTCCCTTCTTCTCTGTAAGAAAAATCAATAAGCCGGGTCCGGTTTGGCTCAATGGATAGAGCGTCAGCTTGGGGACTGAAAGGTCTCGGGTTCGATTCCGGTCAAGGGCATGTACCCTGGTTGCGGGCATATCCCCAGTAGGGGGTGTGCAAGAGGCAGCTGATCAATGACTCTCTCTCATCGATGTTTCTGACTCTCTATCTCTCTCCCTTCCTCTCTGTACAAAATCAATAAAATATATTTAAAAAAAAAAAAAAGAAAAATCAATAAAATATATTTAAAAACAACAACAACAAAAAAAAAACCTTTCCTCTTACATGTATTACTGCAGGACCCAGAAACTTCTCTGCAAAACTCCCAAAGGTAGTGGGAAATCCCTTATAAACTCCAAAGTGTGCCGCCTAGGGCAGGGGGCAAAGTCCTAGGCTGCAAAGTCAAGCCTGTGGGCAGGTCTGGCAGCCCCTTATCCTATCGGAGGCTTCCTCTGAGTACTTTCTCCCATCACGGCTGGGTGCGGAGACAGGAAGTGGACCGGCAGGAAGCCAACATGCCTGCAGGAGTCACTCCAGCAAAGATAAGAACAAGAGTCAACTCAGCTTCTAGCCATTGGCCTTCAGATCATCCATAACCAACTTATAAAAAGATTATGACCTCCAGAGGCAGGAGCCCCGTCCACCCAGCCCCTGCAGGTGTAGTCATCCTGCACCCCCTACAGTGTCTAAACTCAGCAGATCCTCCCTCTAATCAACACCTGTCAAGGGTTTGTGGGTAGTAAAGGATAAAGGGGGCCAAATAGATAGTGACAGAAAGTGACTGACGTGGGGTGTGGGCACACAATGCAATCTATAGGTCATGTATCATAGAAATGTACACTTGAAACCTAAGTAACCTTATTAACCAATGTCACCCCAATAAATTTAATTAAAAAAAAAAAAATACACGTGTCAGAGGGAAAGGAAGAGAAGAAGAAAAGGGAAAATGAGATGGAATGGCAAGTGCCCTGGCTAGTGCAGCTCAGTGGGTTGGGCATCATCCCATGCACTGAAAGGCTGCTAGTTCGGTTCCTGGTCAGGCACATGCCCAGGTTGCAGGCTTGATCCCCAGGAGGGGGCATGGAGGAGATGGCCAATTGATGTCTTGCTCTCACATGGATGTTTCTCTCCTTCCCTCTCCCTTCCTCTCTCTCTAAAAATAAATTTTCTAAGTAAAGAAATTATAAATTAAAAGTTTTTTTAAAAGATGGAATGGCAAAAAATGAAATCGATAATGCCATTGAATTGTACACGTAAAGATGGCTGAGATGATAAATTGTGTAGGGATATTTTACCACAATTTATTAAAACTAAAATATGAAATTCAGTACATGCCCTATCAGCCTTCAAAATCCCCTTCCCCGGGTTTGGGCAGAAAAACATGAGTGTGTTCTGGCAGAGAACGATCCCAGCCACTGTGAAAGGCGCCCAGCAGAGGAGGCCGGCCAACACACCAGCTTGCCTCCCGATGTGCCCAGTAACCAACAAGCCAAATCTGTTTGTGGCTGGAGAGCCTGAGGCAGAAAGTGTAGCCTCAGGAGCCACCGTGCAGTTAAGCCCACACACTGTGTGTCCCTGGGAGGCTGAGAGGGCCCAGGCCTGAAAAATGGGGCTGGGCCAAAACTGGTTCTGCTCAGTGGACAGAGCATCGGCCTGTGGACTGAAAGGTCCCAGGTTTGATTCCGGTCAAGGGCATGTATCTTAGTTGTGGGCACACCCCACTGGGGGGTGTGCAGGAGGCAGCTGATCAGTGTTTCTCTCTCATCAATGTTTCTGGCACTCTATCCCTCTCCCTTCCTCTCTGTAAAAAAATCAATTATATATATATATATATAATTTTTTTTTTAAATGGGGCTAGCCCTAACAGGTTCGGCTCAGTGGACAGAGCGTCAACCTGCGGACTGAAGGGTCCCAGGTTCGATTCCAGTCAAGGACATATACCTTGGTTGCAGGCACATCCCCAGTAGGGCGTATGCAGGAGGCAGCTGATGGATGTCTCATTGATGTTTCTAACTCTTTATCCCTCTCCCTTCCTCTCTGTAAAAAAAAAAAAATATATATATATATATATTTTTTTTTTAATAAAATAAATAAATAATAAAAAATAAATAAATAATAAAAAATAAATAAAAAATGGGGTTGGCATCAGAGACCAGTTAGTCCTGCTTCCACGTGCACTGCCATCAGCGGCAGCCTCCCTCGCATGGACCGGAGTGTAACTGGGCCAGAAACCCTGCAGCCTCGCGGCCGAGGCCAGAACGATGGCAGCGCAGACGCTCACTGTACAACACAGCCAACTGTCCTTGCAGAGAGAACAGATGAGATTCTTACCCAGTGTTGGGGGAGAAGGATGAATCAAAGGTCAGCTTCAGTCCACGTGCGAGCTGGACAGGAAAGAAATTTGCCAGGAGGTTTAGTCACGAGGCAGGCCAGCGGACGCCAATTAACAAAACGTCTTTCCGCAGGTTACCTGGTCTTCCACGGTGATCTCCGTGCCCAGTGTGTTGTCCGTGTTCCACTTCTCTGTGAAGGTCAGGCCGTACTCCGTCCACCTGTACTTGGTTTCCAGACTGCCATTCACTTTGGTGGTCTCAGTGTTGGCTGAACCTGAGCTTGTAAATTCCTTTAAGGAGAGAGAGAGTTACAGCCTGCCTATCAGCACTTCACTTTACATCATTCCAACCCCAAACAGACTGTACTCCCTTCATGCAGGAGGGGACACCCTAAACATGTGGGGCAAAAGCTAATTCCGTAATTCATTTGGATGCATAAAGAACAGAAGGGGCTAACGGAATAACCAATGGGCAATTCTTTATCAGTCCTTACTCCCCGGTAATTCTTGGTCTGTACAGCAAGCATGTCAAACTCAAAGGCTAATATGGGCCAAATAAATGCGACATGGGGCCTTCTTTGGGCTGCAAGTTTGACACACTTGCTGGCACTGCTCCTTCCATCCTGCCTACAGCCTAGTAAAGAGAGAAAGGACTGAGCTAATGCTGACAGTGCAGTAATTCAACCCCAAAACTTCCTTCCAAAAACTACCACAAGCACAATCTAAAACAGGCTACTAAGATTTTTTTTTTTTTTAATAATTATGTGGCACTAAACACAGATCAGTTTTGAAATAAAACTGACACCTGCCCCACATATCTGGGAGGGTTAACAGCTGTTGAAGTAAGGACCTATTAGTACAGTTCCCCGGGGCCACCCGTTCCACAGAGGATGCAATGAGTGTGACAACTACAAACTGCCACCCACAAAAAAGCCCCTTCGCTGGACTCTGCGCCCAGAACACAGCAGTTGCTTATTGATCCACCATAACATACCCGTGCTCCATGAGGGTCAGACAACTTACCAGTCCACTCTCAGATTTTGTTTTCAACTCAAGTTTTATTAAGCCAAATCCTAAAGAGAAAAGATGGTGACTGTTAATAGGTTAGCTAAGCAACCGAGAGCAGCACCTCTGCCTCCCGATGCTATTTCAAAATGGCATGAGTGCCGAGGGCGCCCGTCTGCACGGCCGCCTGCCTGGGTGCAGAGCTCAGCCGCCATGCACAGCGGCAGCCAGGCGGGCACACACCGGGCCCCCGCCTGCGCTACCGGCAGAGCCTGCCACGGTGCGTGGCAGCGTGGGCACATGCCCCCGGATGGGCTAAATTTAGAACTCGCTCTTCGCTGCGGCAGCATCCACAGCAGCTGCACACCTGGGAGAGAGAACAAGCATGTCCGCCCCCCAGTCTGCAGCAACTCGTGGGCCTGCCCCTACTGAGTGCCCGACCAACACTGCTCTCCTAGCTGATCTTTTTCCCTGCGAGCTGACTGACCCAGGTCTCTCTAGGACGGGCAAAATCCCAAACACGCCAATCCAGTCTGTGAGCCGCAAGGCCGCCCCACGCCATACTCACCATAGCCCTTGGTGAAGACGTCCCTGGCAGACTTGCCAAGATCAATATACGTGGGAGGCACAGCCATCTTCTGCTGCAATGAAAGAACCACCAGAACAAAGACATTGGTAATTATGGAAATCGGCTTTCCATTGATAAGATTATCAGATATAATGAACAACCAATAAAAAGCACCAGCACTGCCGAAACCGGGTTTGGCTCAGTGGATAGAGCATCGGCCTGCGGGACTGAAGGATCCCGGGTTCGATTCCAGTCAAGGGCATGTATCTTGGTTGCGGGCACATCCCCAGTAGGAGGTGTGCAAGAGGCAGCTTACCGATGATTCTCTCTCATTGATGTTTTTAACTCTCTATCCCTCTCTCTTCCTCTCTGTAAAAAAAAATCAATAAAATATATTAAAAATAAAAAAGCACCAGCACTGAACTCCAGGTACCTTGCTCTCTCAGGTGTGGACAGAAGCCGGTGCTGTTTCATGCTCCTTTTTATGGCCAGAGTATGAGACACTCAGTAAGCATCTGTTGACAGCAGACAGCCTGACATTAGACCCCTTCTCCTCCTCAGCAGCCCAGCTGAGCACAGGCCCGGCGTATGAGGAGTCAGTAAATATTTGCTGAATGAATGAATTGCCGAAGACACGTTGCCATGAGCCAGCTACTTTATTGAACTACAGAACTCCTGCCAATAAAAGGTATCGTCTAACAAAGCTTCAACTGCCAGGGCATTGAATTCCCAGAATAGAAATCAAAGCTTTTCATGGCAAACTATTTTCTAAATGGGTCTTGACTTCAGTAATTCAACATATTTTTTTAATATATTTTCACTGATTTCAGAAAGAAGGGAGAGGGAGACAGAGATAGAAACATCAATGGTGAGAGAGAATCATTGATCAGCTGCCTCCTGCATGCTCCCCATTGGGGATTCAAGCCCATAATCCGGGCCGGAATCGAACCTGGGTCCCCTCAGTCCACAAGCCGACGCTCTATCCACTGAGCCAAACCGGTGAGGGCTCAACAAATATTTATAGTGTATCTAATATGTGCCAGAATGGACCCAACTTTTCAAAAACTTTGGCCTTTTAGAGGAACCCACTTTTAGAGTATCATACTCCTCACAGGGAATAGAGTAAACCTTAGGCAACTCTTCACATCTCCCCCCAAAATTTTAATTCAAACATTTACTGAGCACCAATGAGACTTTACTTTTTAAAACCAACTATCAAAGTACTCGTTGGGATTGTTGCTTATCACTAAGTCAGTCAACAAGCACTTATTTATTAAGCACCATGGTATTCCAGGAAGGCAAGCAATTCAAACAGTCCTTGCCTCCAAGACCACACCACATCCCTAAAAGGGTCTGCTCGGACACATTGTGTACACAGAATTAAAAGCTCAGAGCCAGCCGGCATCATCTTCTGCATCTCCTCCCTCCCCAAAGTCTTTAGCCAGAAATTCAATTAGCCAGAGGATGGTTCCATTAATTTGTAAAATACGGCATACCTAAATGACCAACGGCTGCATACGCCCCATCTGAACGCACATCTGCTCACACAAATGAACACCGACACGGCATGTTCCCAGTAAGGGGAGCCCACTGAAAAGTGGCCCGAGGGACCCCAGGGGACCAACATCACAATCGAAGTCCCACTCCTGACCAAAGCCACTTCACACACATCGCAGGGCTCAACGAGCACTTTGCAAGAGAATGTAAAATACTTTGTAATGTAAAATGGTGGCCCACGCCCTGACTGGTTTGGCTCAGTGGATAGAGCGTCAGCCTGCGGACTGAAGGGTCCTGGGTTCGATTCCAGTCAAGGGCATGTACCTTGGTTGAGGGCACATCCCCAGTCGGGGGTGTACAGGAGGCAGCTGATCAATGTTTGTCTCTCATCAATGTTTCTAATTCTCTATCCCTCTCTCTTCCTCTCTGTAAAAAAAAAAATCAATAAAAATTGTGGTCCAGGTCCTATATTACTCTCTTCAGAGGTTCTGCTAATTTTGTCAGAACCCAGTCTCCGGTCAGAGCAGAGAGCAGCCCAGTGGGCTGTTTACACTATCCCATTTTGTTGCTGTTATTTCTTACACATGATCAGCCCAGAACCATGGGCAGCTCAGTCCACATTAGGGTCAGGGCACAAAGAACCGGGAGAAGAGCCATTCTAGGCTGTCCCCACAGGCTCTTTCAAGTCTGGAGACTCCCCTTCCACCCAAACAAACCCCACAGGCACACCCACACCAGGGACAGACCAGGAAACCCTCCCCAGGTCCTCCAAAATACCCCAGCCTACAGCATCTGCCCCTGCATGGCACCCTTCCAGGGGCAATGAGACAACCCTGGACACATCTCAGCAAGCTCCCGGGCATTCTCCACACCCCAGAACTACCAGCATCAGTGGACTGAGCATCCCTCTTTAGAGGTACCTCCTTCCCCTGGACCCCCGACTTAGCCCCGGGATGAGGGGGAGAGCAGTCCAGTGGCATTAACTCTGGGTCAGCTAAGACTCCCTGTCCCTCAGGGCCAGGACCTTCCCAAGCATCAACCCCGGCTCCAGGACCAGCCTCACCAGATACAGCGTCTCTCACATCTGGACAGGCCCATCCCCCACGGGAAAGGAGAACACTCACCATTTAATGTTCCCCAAATGCCCTCTCATCCCTCATCCCCAGACCCGAACAGGAAGAGCCACCTGTCAAAAGACCCTCCCTGCATCGTAGGCATCACCCTAAGGACAGGGCCAGGAAGGGGATAACCCTCCAAGGACAAGTTAGCAGAGGGGGCTCTGATGAGGCCAGGCTCTCCTGGCTCCAGCTCAGAACCACACTCACCCCTGGACCAGAGGGCACCCCCACCCCGGGGGCAGGAAGATGGCTGCCCCCCACGAAGGCCCCAGCTGCCTGAGTTGTAGCTTCCCCTTCTTTCTGTGCAGCCTTCCTTCACCCTGTCTCCTGCTGCTGTTATCTGAGGGAAGGCCCAAAGCCACTCTGCCTCCGAGAAACTCGGCCTTTTTACAACTGCAAATGGCCAGAAAATGCCATGTGACACAGTTCTGGGCACCCACTTCGGGAACAATTTTATTGTAGAAATAATGACTCTGTTCATGTTTTCCAGGCTGGCGCTGGAGGAAAGGAACCAGCATTCTGCTTTCTCATTTGATTCCCTGCCTACACGAACTGGGAGGCTGAACTCCAGCTCTGGGCACTCCCTCCCCCCCAATCAGCTCACCATCTGTCCCTCCAGCATCCACCGCTGTTTCCAGAAGCCCGGCCTCCAGAGGCTGAGCCTGAAGCAGAGCACTCAGCATGGGCAAAGCAGGCACCCGGGACAGGCAGAAGGCAGGACCCCAGGTCTGTGCCTGCGGGATCGCCCCAAGGAGCTGTGAGGGATGGGCAGGGCCCAGGGAAGTGAGGGATGGGCAGGGCCAGCTGAGCAGACCTGGCTGCAGTGGCTGATGACTTTGAGAAGGACCAATAAATCATACCGGGAGACAGGAGTCCCTGGTTCCCCTCCACTGCCTGCCAGCCTACCTACCCGACCATCCCCGGGCTGACCTTGAACCATTATGCAAGCTCCACTCCAGATCAGGAATGAAAATCCAGCCCATACTAGAAGCTCAGAGGGGCAAGATAGTGTATCACCCAGCATGGTCTGCATAACCCTTACATAACCCCGTCTTGGGGGGGCATCTCCTCCCCAACTTGGCAGCTGCATGGCAGCGACAGCTGCTCTGCTCCCAGCCCCTCCAGTGCCCCTACAAATGCACATCTACCCCCAAATCGCACCCCTGAACTCAAACCATCCCAGAGCCTGTCGTGCATAAATTTATCCAAAACATGGAAAAAGCTAGGTGTACAAAGATGCCAAGGCCTGGCACATATAGGTATTCAATATAAAACATCTGCTTAATGAATAAATGTGCAGTGAACTCCCAAGTGTTTTATAGTAGGAAATAAAAAACCAGAAACTAAATAGCTGACAATAGGGCAGGTGACCTAGGTAGGTGACCATGTAACCAGGAAGCAGGAGCTCCACAGCAGCACCACCAGGGATAAGGGGTAGGGAGACCCGCAGCGAGCATCCCTACCCCCACCTGGGCCTGAGGAGACTGAACTCAGGCTGAGACCAAGAGCCTTCAGAAGTGAGCGCCACCACTCTGGCCTCAGAACCAAGCACGGACTGCATTCTAAGGGCCTTGGGGAGCCGCTTCAGAGTGAATGACACACCTGTGTCCGAGAAGCTCACTCAACCAACAGGTTAGCAAAAATGTCAGAACCATAAAGACTACTGGTGTGGAAAATGGTCACTCCCATTCACACCAAATGGGAGTACCAGGCACAGTACAGCCCTCCTGGAGCCAATGGCTGGCAGTGCCACTTAAAGGAGGCGTGCATTAACCCAAGGGGCAATCCCACCGCTAGGGGCTCACCCACCATAGTCCCCAGAACAAGCAAACACAAGGATGCTTGCTCACTGCAGAAGCAACCTAAATGTCCATCAATCAGCAAATGAACGAATAATAAGAAAGGTGCTTGCAAACTAAGGAGCTCCATGTGGTAAGCAAAAAGAATGAGGTGAATGTATGCATGGTGGCATGGAAAGCTATCGGTGATACATTAAATGAACAAAGCAGGTCACAGAAAACCTATAGTTCCAGGGAGTTAGAGGAAAGCCCTTTTACACACACATCTGTACACGCTCACACATCTGTGAGTGAACAAAAAAGCCTGGGGAAGGATCGAGCCAACCTGCCAATGGGGCTGCCTCAGACCTGCTTCTGGGAAGGAAAGGGGGCTTAAGGAAGGAGTGGAGTTAAAGTAAGATGTTCATTTATTGTTCTACTTCAATATTTAAGCTGTTTCCATAGATTGGTTTTTTTTTTTTCAAGTTAAGGACAGAACGTTTAAAATGTCAACCAATGCGTCTGCAACTGAGCCACGCTGCCCTTGCAATGCCGCAAGCCGCAAGCCGCATTCATTCTAAAAGGAGTGCCAGGAGGAAAAGCCACTACCAGAGTCAAACCACGTGAGACGCAGCGTCAATCAGGAAGGCCCCCAGGGGACACATTCTACTCCC